TTTTACTATTTTAACTATTTAGTATATGTGCTATCTCTTTAAGTGTATTTAACTTTCACCCATCCGTAACTGCTCTGTGGTAGTGGCCAACTCGAAAGCTTGGCTCCTTTGGCTACTACACACTCTTTCTACTGCTTTGTGTAAACGCATGTATAGTTAGCACTTTCTTCTTTTTTTTTTCTACTTTTCCTCTTTCTCTTTTTCCTCTTTCTTTTCTCGTTCTCGTTTTTCTCTTTCTCGTTTTCTCTTTTATTTTATTTTTTTTTTCTCTGTCTCGATTAGACTCTCGGATACGGCTCTAGGAGGTATTTTATAAATGAAAAAGGAAAAGCCGAATAAGAATTAGTTAGCATATAGAACTGCCCTCTAGCTATTTGCACGTCAGATAAACAATTTCACAAAATTTCAAATCAGAAATTATTCTTATTTCTTGTAAATATCGAAAAATAGTCATAAACATGTTTTTATGCTAACTTCATATGCTTATGCTGTAGGCTCGTTAAGTTGGCTTTTTCTTTTTTTCGTTTTGCATTTTCTATGACAACTTTATTGCAATTACGTTCGCACTATGCAGGTACATTTATTGCTACATACTCTGAAGAAGCCATGTATCCGGCTTGGTGCAGTTAGGACCCGTTCGTTTCCCAGCACAGATAGGTCCTTTTCCACATGGAAGTTCTCCGGTCTTGCTGTTTCCGAGAAAGTAAATCAATGAATGAATCAATTAATTCACCTGTCGGCCATTTGGTTAGCCAATCAGTAAGTCAATCGTCTGGTGACTCTGTTAGTCAGTTAGCGAGCTATTCAATCAGTCAATCAATCAGTTGATTAATCCAGTGGACCAGTGGGCCAGTGGGCCAGTCAGCAAGTTGGAAAGTCGGCCAGCAGTGTTATTTTTGTTCCAATATTTTCCAACTTATTTTATATCTAGCAAAGCCTCGACCAATCTTTTTGCAGCAACATGATCACTTAAGCCCACATTTTTCTTTATGAGATTAGAAATCACTCTAAGTCTGAGCAAACAGTACTATAGCAGGTTAATTACACGCTTGAAGCACAAGGCGTCATACAAGCCGTGTCACATGATTTGAAGGAGTAATTAGCCCACTTACCCATTTCGTGGTGGCTCATTTCTACTCTTATTTTTCGCAGTAGGAGTAGGTGTCGGACGCAAATTAGGAGGAAGTGTCGGATTCCCATTTCCAGTTGGTCTTGGACGCGGATTAGGAACAGGTGTCGGATTCCCATTTCCAGGTGGTCCCGGTTGCGTCGTAGGTCCCACACATAACTGTTATAAGGGAGATGCAAGTTTTAATTAAAGCGAGTTAAATAACGCCATACCAAGCCCACTCACTTCAAAGGAAAAAAGGCAGGTTGAATATGATTGAAAGGTAAAATTCTAAAAGATGGCATTAATTCATATAAGCCACTGTTATATCAACTTACTTTCTCACTTTTGACAGGACATATACAATTCCTAGAGAAAAACGGTAAAATATTGATTAAATAGCTTAGTAAAGACACAGGATATGTCCACTATTCACTTATCTTTTAAAGGTCCGTTTTCTTATCTTCTCATTCATCTACCTATTAATGTACTTGCTTTCTCTTGTCTCCAAACAAAACAAGGTTTTTTATACCTATATCTAAGCAGGAATACAGAATTTGCTTAATTCACGTTACCATCATTGTTATTGCTATTTTCTAAATACATTTTTCTTCCTTGGGTCATCTAGTCATTTATGTATTTTATTAGGCCGAATCAGAACTGGGAAAGTGACTTTTTTCCCTTTTCAGAAGAAGTGCTTCTTTTACCCCCATAATTTCGAGGATTATCCTACTTTGTTTAGCTTTCACATTTGCTAGAGGAATGGGATATCTCGTTGGTCTCGTTAATAAATGTGAGTGCAGAATAATTACTTCTTTTGCGTCACTATTCTATATACTGGGAGCAAAGACGTTAATTGGTATAAAACGTTAAATTTCTTACGAATAGCGTTTCATCTGAGAATATCCCAAAGGCAGCTCAAGTGTCAAATGTTTTTCAAGAAATCCAACTGAGACGCCGAGATTTATGCCAGAAATTCCGTAGAAGCTTTCCAGATCAGCAGGTTTATTTCCAGTGCATTGTGTCGCGGGAAGACGTATGGATAAACCAGCTTCTAGTGGTACGCTCACAAATACCGCCATGGAAAGGTCCACATACTCAAAAACAGCTTCAACTGAGAGAAAGTTGTCTTGATTAAACTCTTTATCAGACCAGAACGTATGGTCGAGGAAACTAGTATTGAAAATAGAGTTATTTCCAGACAAGAATCAAGGATATTCTGAAATTGCATCGATCTGCCTTAGTTCGCTTTGTGATTGATTTGAGGAAATCGCATCAACGGTTCAACCAATGAGAGGCAAAGATAAAACCAAGCATAACTTGCTCAGTTGTTATATTATAAACACTTGTCTTGCCCTTTCTGTCGATTCTGCTTGGCTCTTTGAGTTATTTTCTTTCGCCTAGACTGGCCGTTGGGTATATTACTGTGGGTTTTGGTTTTACAACACTTGATCTTTAAGTGCTTTCAATGAAATGGTTAACATTTGATAATTATGGTTGCAATAATAATGGACCACATGACGACAACGCGACTTACCCGCTAAACAAGAAAAAAGGGCACTGAAAGAATATTTTAAAATAAACAAGAGGCGAAAAAAAGAGAGGGGGATAGCCAGTAATTCTTAACAAAAATACATGATCGAGTTGATCTACGACAAAAAAAATACAAAGAAAAAATTCAAATGCAACTACGTCTTATTTGTATCTCACCCGATATTAAACTTTACGTCAACTGAGAAATCGAGGAATTTGTTGATAATTGGATTGAAGTAATCTGCATGAAAAAATATTTGATCGATCTCACCTAAATCGTCGAACAAACTAAAATCTGATGTCTTGACTGCCTTTAATTGCGATTTTGGAAACGCTGGCAGTTTTACTGAGATTTTGGGTGTCACCGTAACTTTTACGGATGCTCCAACTTCCAGTTGCGGATCTGGGCTATTCCAGTCTTTGTGTAGAGTAACCTATATTGGTAATGTATCAAAAAAGGATAATGTACGATCTCAAATGGAGAAAATGAAGGAAAAAAAATAAGACGAAAGGAGGAAGGAGGAAAGAATGAAGGACATGATGCCAAATAAGGAAAGAGAGGAGAAGAAGGAAAAAAAGGAAACAGAAATTCAAAGATCGAGTCGTAGTTGCACAGGTTTATTGGGGCTCACTTCCAGAGGTACAGTGACGAGGCGTTCAATTTTCATTTTGATCTAATATTTCTCCGCTGAAGGAGAAAATGGTACTTTCTATCCTAGATAAGGAGCGAGAACTGTAGGCCGCCATCTTCTTAACAAGAGGTTGATTGCTGTAGTGGCGAGAAGAATGTTAACAACACGAATGTCTGAATACATATCGCAATTGAAAGTCCGAATAAGTTTTAGTTTGTTTGAAGTCATAAAAAATAATAATGATAATAATATATTTATATTGCGCAAATTAACATGTGGATATGATCAAATGCGCATCACAACACTTTTCGGGGGACTTTGGCCGGACTGCATCAGCAGTTTACAAACAATCGAAGGAAACTTATTTGAAGATGCCCCCTCCCCCCAATTCCCAGTAAACAGGCCAGACCACATCACAGTAATCTCGTGAGTGGGTTCTTTAACGTCCCCTGCCTAACCAAATTAACTAATTAATAGATGCAGGAGACGGGACCTACGGTTTATTCGTCCTTATCCGAGAAGACTAGAATGTCTATCCATTTCTTGATATTATAGAAAGGTAGCGCATTCTCCTCAGTTATTTTAAGACCTTGAGTGTTGGTCCGGCCGGGGCTCGAACCATCGACCTCGACCTCCCGCACAACAGTCCAGCGCTCTAACCAATTGAGCTAACCGGGAGGCGGTTA